AGCCTATTACTCTTGCTCTCTTAAAGGCAAACGTGTGGTTCTCCTGCTGTACGTGGTCATAGACCATAGACAGCTTATCCTTGCAGTTGATTGCGAGCTGATTCTCATGCAACCTTGTGTCAAGGTGCTTGCCCGTTTCACTAACATACTTTGCATCACAGACCACTTCTGATTGTTCTGTCAATGGTAGCGGGTCTTTGCGCCTCACGATCTGCTGTCTGATGATTGACTCTCGCCTATGAGCCACACCGATCCCGAACGATTTCAGGATTCTTGCAGTCACCTCTGATACGTTCCTCATATGGCGAATGGCGAGCCAGACCTTAGGGTCTTCTTCTTTCGCCCGCTTAAGGCGAGGTTTCTTAAGGCATTAGTTTTTATTAAACTAAATATGATAGTGATAAAGTGAAACCGACAAGAACAAGGGAGACTGGAATGGCCAGTCACACCCAAGCCCAGGGGTAGCGTCCTCCAGGATTCGAACACGCGACTTTCAGTCATTGGGTGCAACACTCTACCATTGCACCACAGGCTCGCTCGTTTTATCGGCTGCGATTAGGAATATTATGATAGTAGGGCGCTCATCAGCCTGTTTATGGAACATGCTCATCCCGTGGTACATTGGAGTTCAATCTAGAGCCCTTGGAAGCTGGCTGATGACAGCTAATAAGCCAAGTGTGGCCCTTTATCCTTCGTTGTTTTTTTGGCTCCAGTTCATCATATATTATAATTGGTTATGTGACTGCCTGCGGGGGCTCTAGATTGAGTTCTAAGGCACAACAGTAAGAGCCGATTCAGTAATCAGATAGGCTAGGGCCTTCGTATCAAAAGGTGCATGTATTTTTGGTAGAATATATAGGTATTAGTACATATGTGTACACCGATCAGGACAGGACACAGGACAGGACACACCTGCCCTGGTATTTGATGCCTTTCAGCTGGTATGGGTGGATGCGAATCTCACAACCGTTGCCATATGACTTATTATATGTCGCTTACTATATCTCAGTAACATTTATTTTATATTAGGCATTACCGGCAAACATTGGGACTTGCAGGATACGTATTTCTTACAATGTGTTTAAAACTCTGTTACATATTAAATACAACTCCTCAGTTGTATTCAAGATGTGTACATTAGAGAAAACAGATCCCATTTCGGGAACGGACCTGGCTACTGATAGACTCTTAGCGACCTCCTGACCGAGCCGCTGGATGTAAGCGAATTTTGTGTAGGGTCCACCGGTTAGAAGAAGTGCTCTGTTCATCTGAAGTTGAGCCTCGTCAAACAGACTTTGGATTATGAATGTTGGGGCTGAAAGGAAGACGAAAGGGTTAGACACCGTTAACATACCAAACAAAAGTAACCTGTTGCCATTGTGG